TTTGTATTCCTGTGGTTTAGTAGCATTTTTATTTTTGGCCAGAATTTCTTTTTATTCGCCCGCGCGCACTAGATTTGGGGCCTTCAGAGGATGTCATCCATAAAATGAAGATGGTGTGGCCTGACCACTATAGAACACTAAGGTCATGTTGATTTGATTATATGGATGACATCCTCTGGAAACCCCAAAACTGAGCGTGCGAATAAAAAAAAAATTGGCAAAAACAAGTTGCCTTCATTATGAAATCTAGGTATGTAGTCATAAAGGTTGCACAAATTTTTATTGGCATGGTGAATAATAAACTCTTCATTTTCATGCCGTCACATTTTCTTCTTGTCCTTTGGAATGGATTTTGGCATTCTGCGACATAAGTACCGTTTTCCAATATTTTTTTTTTCAATTTGCGGTATATATTTGCTCATTTTGCAGCTTCTTTGTACGATTTACAGTATGGTCAAAAAACCTGTGGATGCGTGGATGTCATCCATATAATGAACTCAACATGGCCTAAACTAGCTTCAGTGCCTAATGCACCATGTATTCAGCACCAGGGACAGATGACGCCTACGCAGCAAGTCCAAAAATAGCCTTATTTCCGCGTCTTGAAGATTTGTCTTTCATTTCATACTCTGACTGTACAAGGGACGTACATCGCATTTGCATTGATGGATTTTACAGACGCCGGTTTTCACTTCAAGAAATAAGACTACAATCAGTTACTTTAACACATAGAGGTTGAGGGCAGCAGCTATTTTTCACCCCCATTAGTTACTTTTCTTCGTGGTTTTCCCAACTTTTTCATTCTAAAATGTTTTCTTTACAATCTTTTATACTTAAAAAAATTCTGTTCACCTGCCCTTAGACGTGTATCACTCCTGACATGACGGTATCACCTTTTACTCATTACTAACGTCACACTTCAGTAAGTCCAACATTTATTTCTGCGTCTCGAAATAGATTTGTAAGATTGTTTTTTTTTTCATTTCAGACTCTGACTTTACGAGGACGTACATCGCATGCATTGATGGGTTCTACAGACGACATTTCCGCCGTTTTTCACTCCATGAAATAAGAGTACAATCAGTTTCTTTAACACGTAGAGGTTGAGGGCAGCACCCCCATTAGTCCATTTTCTCTGTGGTTTTCCCAACCATTTCATTCCAAAAAGTTTTCTTTACAATATTTCATACTTTTTTTCCGTTGACCTGCCCTTAGACGTGTATCACTCATGACGTCATCACCTTTGACCCATTATTGACGACACACTTCATTTGAACAAGAGTAAATTAGAAAGAGAACAAAAAACTATCCAGTGTTGCAGAGAAATTCTCGATCGGGCTATTGTTAATAGTTTGATGGATGATCTTGCATGGTTTTGTGCACTGACTCTATCTTGGGACTAGTATTGCGTGCATGGGTGGAAATGCTCTAAAACTTGTACTCATCTCGTAGAATATGGCAACTGACAGCTGAACCTTGCACAGACATAGAGTTGAACATATATTGCCGTAGAAAAAAATAAGCCAACTAGAAACTAAAAAAGGTAACATTTGCAAAGCAAATACATAATGTTTACCTTCGCATATGGTCTGCTCTGTTAATTCTTACTCAAACACATTCACATATATGGTCAGACAGCAGTCTAAATCCCTCCTGCTATAAAATTGCAACATGACGTAACCCAGCACTAGTTACCATGGTAGCAGAGAGTCTGGTTCAGGTCATTGAACTTTTTGGTTTGGAGAAGAAAAGGAAACAATATGTTTTACTTAATGATGAAGACAAAATGACTTGCCATATTAATCTTCGCTATCTGGCCGGAAAGAACAGGCAAGAGGAGCCCAGATGTTGACTCAGTAAAGGCTTCATGAAATAATTGTGTGTGTGTGT